CGGCCCCGGTCCTGAGCCGCGCAGCGCGGCGCCCAGCCGTGCCCCGCCGAGCCGCGCAGCCTGCGCCGTGGCCATGTCCGGAGGGGCGAGCCCGGCCCCGGCCCCTGGGAGCCGCCGCTTCGTCTGTGTTGGTGTAAGTACCGGGGGGACCCCCCCGCGCTTCCGCGCCCCGCTCCGCCTCCGCGCATCCTGCCCGGCCCGGCCCGGCCCGGCCCGGCCCGGTTCCGCTGCCGGACAGGGCACAGCGAGGGCCCGGTCCCCTCGCCGTGCCCCGCACCCCCGATCCGGGTGGCTCCAGGCCCCCCTCGCCCCCTCGCCGTGCCCCACGCCGGCTCCCGCTGCTCGCCAGTCCCCTCGTATCCTGGAACCCCCTCCCGGTGCTTCCCGAGCTCCCCGCGATGCCCCGCACCCCGATCGGCTGCTCCGAGCACCCCGAGCTCCCCGCGATGCCCCGCACCCCTCCCGGGTGCTCCGAGCTCTCCTGAGCCTCCCTGCGGTGCTCCACAGCCCCGGCCTAGGTCCTCGCCAGTCTCCTTGCGGTGTCCCGCACCCCCGATCTGGGTGCCGCGAGCACCCCCAACCTCCTCGTGATGCCCCGCACGCCTGGCCCGGGTCCTCCCCGGCCTCCTCTCCATGCCCCGCACCCTCTCCCGGTGCTTCCTGTCCGCTTTGCAATGCCCCACAGCCCCGGTTCGGGTGCTCGGAACACCCCTGAGCCCCCTTGGCTGCCCCGCACCCTCTCCCGGTGTTCCCCGAGCCCGGTGCGATGCCCGCACCCCCGGCCCGGATGCTCCGAGCCCCCCCGAGACCCCTCGCAATTCCCCGCGCCCCCAACCCGGCCGCTCCCCGCTCCCTCCCCAAGCTCCCGCGCCCTCTCCCGGTGCTCCCCGAGCCCTGTGCGGTGCCCGCACCCCCGATCCCGGTGCCCGCCGCATCCCCCGGGCCCGGCCGTGCTGCAGCCCCGCTCGGGGCCCCGTTTCTCCCGCACCGCCTCCCGCCGCGGCCTCCACAGCCCCGGCTGCTTCCCGGGGCCGCCCGGGCCCCGTTCCGCCCGCACCCCGCGGCTGCCCCAAGCACCCCGTGATTTTTGGGCACCGCCGCGGATTCGGGGCGGTTTCGCCCCGGTTTGGGGGGGTCTCCTCCCCTGGCGAGGTGCGGGATGGAGGATTTGGAGCCTGGAGTTGCTAAGCGACGGCTCCCGGGGTGATGGTGCAGTTGCCTTGGCAACCGTGGGCTGGGAGCCTGGAAGGAGCAATTTTGGGGTTCTCCTTGGGGGGGGTGTGGGTGTGAATTGGGTGCCCGTGCTTTGGGTGGGGGGCTGCAGCAGGCAGGGAGAGCAGCTTTGGGGGGGCTGCTGGCTGGAGCAGCCCTGCTCCTCTGGGAAGAGCTTTTCCTTCGGGGGGAACTCCGATCCCTCGGCATCTCGGGTTATTTTTACTCTGCGGTGGATTTTGGAGCTGTTTCCAGGAGAGCAGTGATGGTGGGGAAGGTGAGGAGGGGACTTGAAAAGGTTCAGCCCCTCCTGGGGTGGTGTCGTGGGTGAGGGGCTGTGACACCCCCACCGTGGGGCCAGGAGAGCTCCCCAAGGAGGTTCTGCTTTCCAGACCCCCCTTTTTATCGCTGCTGCTGCTTCCCCCTCTTCCCCTCCTCACGGCAGGCACTGATCCCACAGGGATTTAGCCCTTAATTCCCGTGAGGCACCAGACTTTGCGAGCTGGCTCGGCTGGGGGTGGGCTGAGCTCCCCACGAGGGACAAACATCCCAAGTGCCAACTGCCGTTGTCATTCCTGTGCCTTCCCCCTCCATCCCAACCAGCTCGGCTGACTCGGGAGCACGGCCGGGCCTAAAAATAACCACAGCAAAGCTCCCCGAGCGCTCACACCCCCCTCCCCGGAGATCTCCCGGTCCTTCAGAGCCCAGCTGGTCCCTGGGAGGAGCAGGGGACAGGGGACGGCAGCAGAGGGGGATGGAAATGGGTTTTGAGGGGCTAACGGGGAAGGAGCCCACCTGCCCTGCCGCTGCTCCTGGTTTGCAATGCCCTTTGGGATGAATTCCCTGCATCCCAAAGGATGGAGGGGGCGTGGAATGCGGCGACAGCTACTCGGAGAAGTTTAACTCGGGACCAGCCCGGTGTGGAAGCGCTGGCACCCGGAGTGACCTGGATTTGTGCCACCTGCCTTTGCCTCCTGCTGCCCTCGGGGCTGGTGGCTCGGTGCTGCCCCGGGATCCAGGTGTGCCCGGGGAGGCTGCGCACGGAGGGAGGCGCTAACATTGGGAAGTCCTTGCCAGGCTGCCGGTTCGGGGAGCTGTGGTCCCACGTGCAGGGCTCGGTTGCCATCGTTACCGGGTATTTTCGCTCACTGCGCTGGTGGTTTATTATAGCAGCCCGGGAGGCCGCTGCCAGGAGGGAGCGACGAGGGGGAGAGATCCGTGGCCTTGGGAAGTTCAGAGAAATTGGGATTTGTGGGGGTTTTTGTCCTTTTTGGTATCCCAAGGGGGAAGAGATCCGTGGCCTTGGGAAGTTCAGAGAAATTGGGATCTGTGGGGGTTTTTGTCCTTTTTGCTATCCCTCAATCCCCTCAATGCTTTTCCCCCTCAAAACCACATAAACCGTTGGGTTCATGCTGTGATGAGTTAATTCTGGCTGATTTAGGCTTTGAGCAGGGAATGGGTGGCATACCTGGGCACACCTGGGTGCTGCTCATCAGCTGTGCAGCACCCACAGCACCAACATGTCTCTCAGGAGTGTTGGGGTCACCCCTGCTCCTGGGAGCTCTCCCAATCCCTGTGGCTTCTGAGCCTCTGGAAAACCTAAGGAGTTTCTTCTTGCTGCTCTTAGCTGGGAGCAAATATCCCCTAGGGAATGGGGTGGGAAGAGGGGGAAGGTCAGTGTCCCCTGCCAGACTGCAGGGCTGGGCAGTGCCCGCGTGTGCACTCGGTCAGGCGGCTCTGGAACCTTCTCTTGCAAACGCTGGAGATGGAGAAAAGGAAGAGGAGGAAGGGAGAGGGGGAAAAAAAAGCCTCATCTCACATGAACAAGCATGAGCCGGAGAGCCGGGAGGGAGGAGGGCGCAATCCAACGCAGGCCATGTGTCTGACGTGGCACAGCAGCCACACTGCCACCAGAACATAAAATTTTAAAGGGGACTGGCGGGCACAGCGAGCTGGGAAGGGCTGAGCTGCTGCAGAGCTTCCCCGGGCTGCCAGCGAGTGTCAGCATCCTCCTGCTTTGTGCCCCTGTGGTGCCCTGGAGACACCCCTGGCTGGTCCTGGCTGCGTTTGCCGAGCCCTCGTTCCCCCCGCAGGTCCCAATTAATGGATTCTGACATGGATTATGAGAGGCCAAACGTAGAAACCATCAAGTGCGTCGTGGTCGGGGACAACGCGGTGGGCAAGACCCGGCTCATCTGTGCCCGTGCCTGCAACGCCACCTTGACCCAGTACCAGCTGCTGGCCACCCACGTGCCCACGGTGTGGGCCATCGACCAGTACCGCGTCTGCCAGGAGGTGAGGGCTGCCGAGGGTGCTGGGGGGGCTCGTGGACACCCCGTGGCAGGGTTGTGAGCTTGTGATTGACTTGCCACGGTGGGGACAGCCCTGCTGTTGTCGTTGTGAGGCTCAGGGACTGAGGAGCTGGATGGTTTCTGTTCCTGCAGGTGCTGGAGCGCTCCCGGGATGTGGTAGACGATGTCAGCGTGTCCTTGCGCCTCTGGGACACCTTTGGTGACCACCACAAGGACAGGCGCTTTGCCTACGGCAGGTAGGGAGAGGCAGAGCCCTGCGCTGCCCCGGGCAGGGAGGGAGTCCCCAAACCGGACCTTGACCCCTCCCTTGTCCCCTCGCAGGTCCGACGTCGTGGTTTTGTGCTTCTCCATCGCCAACCCCAACTCCCTGCACCATGTGAAGACCATGTGGTACCCGGAGATCAAGCACTTCTGCCCCCGCGCCCCCGTCATCCTGGTGGGCTGCCAGCTCGACCTGCGCTACGCCGACCTGGAGGCCGTCAACCGCGCCCGGCGACCCTTGGCCAGGTGGGGCCCTGGAGACGTCCCTGCCTGCCCTCCTTATCTCAAGAGCTCTCTTCATTAATTATCTCCTGTCTCTTTCAGGCCAATTAAGCCTAATGAGATCCTTCCCCCGGAGAAGGGCAGGGAGGTCGCCAAGGAGCTGGGGATCCCTTATTACGAGACGAGCGTGGTGGCCCAGTTCGGCGTCAAGGACGTCTTTGACAATGCCATCCGCGCCGCCCTCATCTCCCGCCGCCACCTGCAGTTCTGGAAGTCCCACCTGCGCAACGTGCAGCGGCCCCTGCTCCAAGCCCCCTTCCTGCCCCCCAAGCCCCCTCCTCCCATCATCATCGTCCCGGACCCCCCTTCCAACAACGAGGAGCGTCCAGCTCACCTTCTGGAGGACCCCCTGTGCGCGGACGTCATCCTGGTGCTGCAAGAGAAGATCAAAATCTACGCACACAAGATCTACCTCTCCACCTCCTCCTCCAAGTTTTACGACCTGTTCCTCATGGACCTGAGCGAGGAGGACCAGCAGAGCACCGCGGGGCACGGCTTCGGGGTGGCTGTCACCGCGGCCGCCGAGCGGATGCTGCACCAGGAGGAGAGGCACCACGGGCGGGATTTCCTCCTGAGGGCCGCCAGCTTCGACATCTGCGAGAGCGCCGAGGAGGCCGGACCCGGCCAGCGCAAACCGTGCCTTAGAGCCTCCACCAGTGACGGGATCCTGCGGGGCGACCGCTACGAGAACGGCGAGCGCGGGCTGCGCCGGGGCCGGAACCTCTCCTCGTGGAGCAGGGCCTTCACCAGCATCCAGGAGGAGATGGCCGAGGACCCGCTGACCTACAAGTCCAAGCTGATGGTGGTGGTGAAGATGGACGCGTCCATCCAGCCGGGTCCTTTCCGGGCCGTGCTGAAGTACCTGTACACGGGCGAGCTGGACGAGAACGAGCGGGACCTCATGCACATCGCTCACATCGCCGAGCTGCTGGAGGTGTTCGACCTGCGCATGATGGTGGCCAACATCCTCAACAACGAGGCGTTCATGAACCAGGAGATCACCAAAGCCTTCCACGTCCGGAGGACCAACCGGGTGAAGGAATGCCTGGCCAAGGGGACTTTCTCGGGTACGGCTCCGGGAGCAGCAGCCTGGTCCTTTTTGGGGGCTCACAGGGTGGGTGGGGGCTCCTGGTTTTGCTCCGTGAGTGAGGGGGTGGCCGTGCCTCCTCCAGGGTTTTTGGTCACACTTTGCAGTGTGGGGATTTTTATCGCCTTTTTTTGCCCTGAGAAAGTGAGTGTGCAGCCCTTCCCCAGGGTTTCCTGCTCTCCAGCTGGCCCAGCAGCTCTGTTTATTTATGGGAGAGCTGCAAAGGCGACTTCCTTCTCTCCCAGCCTGGATTTTTACAGGGTCATCCTGATTTACGAGGAGCAAGTGCCCTTAGTAGGATTTCCCCAGCTTTCCAGTGAGCACCACGAGCCACCAGCACGAGGTGACATCCCAGGGGGACGTGAATGTCCCAGCCTCCCTCTGGCTGGATTTGTTTCATGGAGATGGATCCTAATAAGGTCAGGCTGTCCCTGTCAGGGACAGATGTGTGGTGGCCCTCGCACACCCCTGGGAGAAGCTGCGGAGAGCGAGGCAGGAGATCCCCAGCCTCCTTCCCAGCTCTCCAAGCACTCAAGTTTAAGTGTGACATTTGCTTCCTAGCAAATGTGGCAAATGTGTTGTGGGGTGACCTGGGAACACCCCTTGGAACAGGCAGAGCACTGCTGAGGCTCTTCCCCGAGCTCCTCTGAGCTGGCAGGGAATGCCGGATAAAAATGAGAGATATTTTAGGGAAAAATAGCGGATATGGCAGGCTCTATCCCCTTCCCTCTGCTTGCCCGGGGTGAGGCGTTTTGTGGCAGGGCCGGTCCCAGCAGCCCTGTGCTTGTCCCCAGATGTCACCTTCGTGCTGGATGACGGTGCTATCAGTGCCCACAAGCCCCTGCTCATCTCCAGCTGCGACTGGATGGCCGCGATGTTCGGCGGCCCCTTCGTGGAGAGCTCCACCAACGAGGTGAGGAGAGCTCCTGGGCGGGTGGCGCGGTGGGGACGGCCAGGAGGTGACAATGTGTGTGCCTGGCAGGTGGCACTTCCTCACACCAGCAAGAGCTGCATGCGGGCCGTGCTGGAGTACCTGTACACGGGGCAGTTCAGCTCCAGCCCCGACCTGGACGACATGAAGCTCATCATCCTGGCCAACCGCCTCTGCCTGCCGCACCTGGTGGCTCTCACAGGTGAGTCCGGGTGGCTGCAGCACGGCAGGGTGACTGTCACCCCGTGCCAGCCCCCCCTGAGCCCGTGTGTCCCCCTGTGCAGAGCAGTACATGGTCACCGGCCTGATGGAGGCGGCGCAGATGATGGTGGACATCGACGGGGACGTGCTGGTGTTCCTGGAGCTGGCTCAGGTAGGACAGGAGCCTGTGCTGGCACGGCTGGGGGTGCTCCAGGTGACACACTGAGGGGCCTGGCAGGGCTGGGGGTGCTCCAGGTGACACACAGAGGGGTCTGGCAGGGTTGGAGCTGACACACTGAGGGGCCTGGCAGGGCAGGAGGTGACACGGGGTGGGTCTGGAAGGGCTGAGGGTGCTCAAGATGACACAGAGAGGGGTCTGGAAGGGCAGGAAGTGACACACAGAGGGGCCTGGCAGAGCAAGAGGTGATGCACAGAGGTGTCTGGCAGGGCTGGGGGTGCTCAAGGTGACACACAGAGGGGTCTGGCAGGGCAGGAGGTGACACACTGAGGGGTCTGGCACGGCTGGGGGTGACACACAGAGGAGTCTGGCAGGATTGGAGGTGTTCCTGGTGACACACAGAGGTGTCTGGCAGGGCAAGAGTTGATCCAGGTGACACACAGAGGGGTCTGGCAGGGTTGGAGGTGACACACAGAGGGGTCTGGCAAGGCTGGGGGTGCTCCAGCTGACACACTGAGGGATCTGGCAGGGTTGGAGGTGACACACAGAGGGGTCTGGCAAGGCTGGGGGTGCTCCAGGTGACACACAGAGGGGTCTGGCAGCCCCAGGAGCTGGACAGCCAGGTCTGGCCTTGGATGTCCGTGGAGCAATGAGGTGAGCCCCTGGTGCTGGCCCGTTCCTGGTGGCCCTGAGCTGGTGTCCCATCCTCCCCCAGTTCCACTGCGCCTACCAGCTCGCCGACTGGTGCCTGCACCACATCTGCACCAACTACAACAACGTCTGCCGCAAGTTCCCCCGGGACATGAAGGCCATGTCGGGAGGTGAGTGGCAGCCGGGGGGAGGTGACAGGCGGGTCCCCGCGCTCCTGGCACGGCCCTCACCCCCCCGTGTGCCCGCAGAGAACCAGGAGTACTTCGAGAAGCACCGCTGGCCGCCGGTGTGGTACCTGAAGGAGGAGGATCACTACCAGCGGGCGAAGAAGGAGCGGGAGAAGGAAGACTACCTCCACCTCAAACGGCAGCCCAAGAGGCGGTGGCTCTTCTGGAACGCCTCCTCCTCCCCTTCTTCCTCTCCTTCATCGTCGGCAGCCACAGCCTCCTCTTCCTCCTCCTCCTCCTCCTCCTCGGCTGTGGTTTGAAAGCCCCGTCCTTGCCCTGGCCCCAGCGTCGCTGGGAGGAGACGGGGAGGAGGAGGAGGAGGAGGAAGGGTGGGATGCCCTGCCCCAGCGCCGGGCACGGAGGGCACTGGCCCCGCAGCAGACGGGCTCAGCCCTGCTCTCCCCGCGGCAGGACTGGCAGAGCCCGAGCAGCAGGAGAAACTCACGTTTACAGGAGCACGAGGGCTGTGTTGTGGTTTCATTTCACGTGGAATTTTTGTTGGAAATCAGTTTTGTTTTTCGGAACATCATCAGCGTGAGGAAGACGAAGATGAAGAAGAAGAAACACATCCAGCTTCCACTTTGATTTGGAACCAGAAGCTCTGGGATGTGCTTGGGGTGTCTGATGGCATCTCACCACCTGGAGCCACCGTGGGGGTCCTGCCACCCCCTTGGACTGACAGCAGGGTCAGCACAGGGCAGGGGACCCCGGTCCCCAAATGCCTCCAGGCACTGCAGGATTTCCTCTACAAGTGGGGTCTGTCCTAATTCAGGGCACGGAGGGGACTGGAGTCCCCTCCTCCCTGTTCTTAACTCTTCAGTTTTGTTTAGACAGAAACTTAAAGCAAAAAAAAACCCCAAACCCAAACCCACTCCCTCAATCTGCCACACCAGAAACCAACCCCGAGCCCTCGGCTTGGGATTTTAGCCTGGAAGGCTCCATTGTAATAAATGGTATTTTAAAAGCCCGGCGTGGTCCCTGTGTGTGTGGGAGGAGCAGCTGGACTGGCACGCCCTTGTGCCAGGCTCGGGGTGATGCCATCACCCCCTGCCAGCGCTCCTGGGACGGGCAGGGACATCGAGGCCTGGCAGGACCCAAACCCTGGCACAACACGAGGTGGCTTTTCCATAGGACTAACTCTGCCTGTCCCACCTGTGTCCCTGCAGGGCTGCCAGGCTGGGCAGGGGGCACCCAGACCTCCTCACCCTTGGGAGGGAGAGCTCCTTGGAGCCCATCCCGGCAGAGGCTGCTGCTGGAGGAGCCCCGGGGATGCTCCCGGGGGTGTCCCCTCACACCCCACACTGCTCCTCGTCCCAGCTGGCCTCTGGAGCACCCTGGAGCCTGCCCTTGTGCATGCCCGCCCGCAGCCTCGGAGGCAGGAGCGAGGTGGCTCCTCGCCCTGTTCTGTCCCGTGGCAGCCCCAGCCAGCAGGTAGGACCACGGCTTTCTGTCCTCCTCACACAACCCGGGCACTCGCCGCTGCTTCCGAGGCCTGTCTGCCTTGCCCAGGCCAGGACCCGAGCCCTGGCACTGAACCCTGCATGTGCCTGGCTCTGCAGGAGCCCCTGGCATGCTCAGGGGGCACAGGGGGATGCCCGGGGGAGCCCCTGGGCACGAACCCCCCGGGCAGGTCACCAACAGCTCCTGCTTGTCACCCCAGCTCTTAGAAATGCCCTCGGCGGTGCAGGGGCAGGGGAGCAGTTTCTGGGGGCTGAGCAGAGCCCTCTCCTCACTAAGCACTGCATGGATTTGCAACACAGCTACTGCAACACACAGAGCCCTGGCTGGAGGAGCCGCAGCCCCCGGGCAGCGCCGCCGCTGCCCCCGCTCCCGGCACGGCTGGCACCCCCTGCTCTGCACGGGGCTCTGTAGGGTCAGTAAGGCCAGGATGGCTGCTGAGGGCTGTCCCTGGCACAAAGGACTCCTGGGGACCATTCCTGGGGTGGCTGAGCATTAATTCCGTGGGCTGAGTCCTCAGTGCCACATGGAGCAACTGGTGTCCACTGGGACCCTGGACCTTGGTGTCCCTTGAGACCCCAGAGAGGCCCTCACCAGAGTTCTGGGGGGAAAACAAATCAAACCAGATGACAAAATCAGGAGGAATTTTTTTTTTTAAAGTTGAACCTTCATAAACAGAGAAATGTAACAAACTGGAAAAGTAAAACTGGCTGGGCCAGAGCTCTGTAAAAAACACACGACCATGCATAACAAAATACCAATATTTTTATATTGCATATATTAACTTAAAAGCTATGTTTACAATTGCTAAATAAATAAGTACAAAATTTCTGCTTGTTGTATTGGAGGGTGGAGGAGAAAGGGAGCAGCAGGAAGGGTGCTGAGCACTCTCCCAACACCCTGGGGAAGGTCCTGGTGGGCTGGGCTGGACTGGGGTGGCAGCTCAAGTAATCCAGGAGTTCTCCCAGCTGTTTTTACAGCTAGGCTGTCCCTGAGCTCTGTGTGAGGCACAGTGCTTGAGGTCTGAGATGGGCAGGAGGTACCACGGTCACACTCACACTCAGTGCATTCACCCCGCCACGCTGGGGCACACAGGGACAGCAGCCACCCCACAGCCACGGGGCTAACCTGGGCCCAGCAGGGCCATGGGGGGATTTTTCCCTTCTCCTCAGCTCTGGGGAGACCCCACCTGCAGCTCTGGGGCCTCCACAAGGATCTGAAAGCCTTGGAACAAATCCAGGAGGCCACAGAGCTGCTCCGAGGGCTGGAACCCCTCTGGAGCCAGGCTGGGAGAGCTGGGATTGTCCAGCCTGGAGAAGAGAAGGCTCTGGGACACCTTCGAGCCCTTTCCAGTACCTAAAGGGGCTCCAGGAGAGCTGGGGAGGGACTGGACAAGGGCTAGGAGTGCCAGGACACGGGAATGGCTTTAAACCGAGTGAAGATCACATTACATTAGTCACTACAAAGAAATACTTCACAATGAGGGTGAGTAAACACTGGCAGAAAGGCTGCCCAGATAAGCTGCCCCATTCCTGGCAAACATTCAAGGTCAGGTTGATGGGGCTTGGAGCAACCTGGTGGAGTGGGAGATGCCCTGGTCCTGGCAGGGGGATGGGCTGGGTGGGCCCTGCATTGTCCCTTTCCCCAGGCAACCCCAGTGCTCCTAGTGCAAATCATTCCCCCTGTCCCCTCCAAGTGCAGTTTTAAATTAGCTCCTACGAACAAGCAGAACCATGTAAAACAAAAACAAAAAACAATAACAATAACAATAACAAAAACAAACAGTTGGTTCACAAAAACTAACCCAAGACACCAGCTGAGCTTGCAGAACCACCAAGCACGCAGAATGAAGCTTACTTAGAGATGTTCTAGAAGCAGAAGCCATTTTACAACACCAAGAGTCTTCTGTGATTCGAGGATGATCCAGTTCAAAAGCACAGGGAGCCCTTCTCCGCACAGATCCCAAAGAAATCTGGGTAGTACCAGTGTTTCCAAGACAGATGGTCGAAGGCAGACTGAAATTATTTGAAACTCTTGGCGTTGGCCCAGCGAAATCAAGAAACCAGCTTGGATTCCACGAGGAAGAACCAACTTTGAACTGTAACTCCAGCAGAGGACCCTGAGGCTTGTCCTTCACGTGAGGATCAGCTCCTGCCTCCGCTGACAATGGCCTCAAGAGGAGAGCAGCCACAGGATAGCTACAAACAGCTACAATCCAGCCGTTCTGAGAATTACTTCACAGCTGTAGCCTGAAGGAGGCAGCTGCAAGGTGTGCCCTGCTCCCTTCAGCTGGTTTCATGCTGAAAATGTCCACTCTGAACCAGCATGTTGGAGATGCTCTCTGCCACGCCGCCGAGGCTGATGCGGTCCAGGGTGTCCAGCAGCGTGTTCACGGAGGCCTTGGTGCCCTCCCTGTTCTGCCACCTGCGCAGCATGTTGTAGAAGTCATCCTCTGACCTGTCCGTGGGGATGTCATTGTCCTCCAGGTTCAGGCTGTGGCCGAATCTCTTCCAGTTTTCTTTGGGCACCTTCCTAGCGAAGGTGTAAAAGGAGCGCTGCAGCACTGGAGGGGGAAAGGGACAGCTCAGAGCACGGGCAGCTGGGACAGCAATCCCACCCCCAGCACATCCCCTGGGCCCCAGCACTCACCTTTAGAGGGGTCAGACCCTGGGGCTGGAATCAGACTCCTCCAGGGTCTCTCACTCCCACTCGGCAGCATCTCCTGCAATGACAACGTCACTCCTGGAATGACAGTGTCACTCCTGCAGTGACAGTGTCCTACAGCACCCACCAAGCCCCAGCAGCCACGTGTGATCAATGGGCATTGGAGACCCTCTCCCCGTGTCCCAGGGCTGCTGGGGCAGGAGATCACCACCCACCCCTGCCACCCGTGTTTCCTGTCTCTGCAATGGCAGCAGGCCCCGAGATGGGGAGACCAGAGCTCTGCTTGCTCAGCATCAGCCTTAAATCCTCTGAGGACTCTCTGGACTGCAATGAGCAGATTTTGCCATCCTGACCCCACAAAGAGGCCCTTTGCCATCCCCCTGAGCAGCCCAGCCCTGGCAGCCCCCGGGATGGTCAGATCCTGGCTGGCACGCCGGGGCACAGGGTGCCACTCACGTACCTGTCTCTCTGGTGCCGTGTGACGCTGCTGCATCTCTGTCTGCCTGTTGGCCTGGTTGTCCTCTGTCCCCACGTTCCCTGTCTTGCACCACAGCAGCTTCTGAAACATAGAGCTCTGTAGCAAGGGAGAAACACGAACTGTGGTGCTTTGGGAAGGCAGGAACCTGCCACGGATCCAAGGGCATGGATCCCGAGCTTGGAGGAGCTCTGGGTGAGCACAGCCCACCCCTACCCTGGGATCTCCACTGTGGATCCTGGATGTGCCAGCACCGACACCAGGAAAGTGTTAATGGCACTGAGGAGGGGCTGGAAGCACCCAGGGCACTGCCAGAGAGCCTCCTCTGCTTGGCCCAGCTCTACCACAACCCTGCAGGGATGAGCCTCATCCCCCTGCTCCTCCAGCCTTCCTAGCTGGATGAAACTCATCCCCCTGCTCCTCCAGCCTTCCTAGCTGGATGAAACTCATCCCCCTGCTCCTCCAGCCTTCCTAGCTGGATGAAACTCATCCCACTGCTCCTCTACCTTCCCAGCTGGATGAAACTCATCCCACTGCTCCTCCAGCCTTCCCAGCTGGATCAAACTCATGCCACTGCTCCTCCAGCCTTCCCAGATACTGCTGGTGACTCATCCCCCTGCTCCTCCAGCCTTCCCAAAAACTGCTGGATGAAACTCATACCCTTGCTGGATGGAGGGGGGATGAAACTCATCCAACTTCTGGAGGAGCAGAGGGATGAGTTTCATCCAGCTGGGAAGGCTAGATGCTCCTCCAGCTTTCCCAGCTGGATGAAACTCATCTTGCTCCTCCAGCCTTCCCAGAAACTGCTGGATGAGCCTCATTCCCCTGCTCCTCCAGCCTTCCCAGCTGGATGAGCCTCACTCCCCTGCTCCTCCAGCCTTCCCAGGAGCTGCTGGCCAAGTGGGGAGCAGAGGGAATGGAGGACCTTACCCCAGCCCACAAACAGAGCCATTCCCCCCTGCCATCCCAGGAACTCACCACCATTTCGAAGGGCTTCCTGCTCGAGGGTGTCCCATCCCCTGGAAGAGGGAGAGAGCACTGTGATCCCCCTTCCCCTAGGCAGGACCCTCTTCCCACCCAACCCCCACACCAGTGGGTGTTCCCAGGGTCTCTCCTCCCACCCAGCCCACACCAGTGGGTGCTCCTGGGTCTCTCTTCCCACCCAGCCCACACCAGTGGGTGCTCCTGGGTCTCTCTTCCCACCCAGCCCACACCAGTGGGTGCTCCTGGGTCTCTCTTCCCACCCAGCCCACACCAGTGGGTGCTCCTGGGTCTCTCTTCCCACACCAGTGGGTGCTCCTGGGTCTCTCCTCCCACCCAGCCCACACCAGTGGGTGCTCCTGGGTCTCTCCTCCCACCCAGCCCACACCAGCCACAGTCCCTGGCCAAGGTGGGTGCTCCAGGGGTCCCCTGCACCCACCTGGGGAGCTGCAGTGGCGTTTCCAGCAGTAGAACACAATGCAAGCCAGGATCCCAAGTGCTACCACAACCGGCACTGCAGTGATGCCCGTGAGGTCTAAAGCAGACGGAGCAGGGGTGTGAGCAGCTGCCTCAGCCCCAGCAGCAGCCCCCAGCCCTCACCCTGCCCAGAGCCCCCACTCACAGGAGGGGAAGGTGTCCGTGTCAGGACCACACTGGAGGTCGCTGTCAGGTGTGCAGTGTTTCAGCACCACTTGGCCCTCGGGACACCTGGACAGGGGACACAGGGGACACTCAGCAGCTGTGGCTCGGCAGCGCAGACCCTGCAGGAGCCACCGTGGCCCCTGACCTGCTGCAGTTCATCTTGGGGGCTCCCTGAGCTGTGAGATCACTGACAGCAGCAGGCAGGCAAGGAGACCCCACAGGGCTTCTGAGGGTGCTGATTAGATGAGGGTTTATTGGGGGATCCACCCCGGGAGCAGCATGGTTACTGAGGGGGAAGGGGAAAGGGGGAGAGGAAGGGCCAAGAGAGAGTCTGGTCTCCCTCGCACAGCTTAACAGGGAGATTCAGAGCGGGTGCAGAATCAGGCTTGGGCCAATGGGATTACAGACACATGAGGCTTCAGGGGAGATCACAGCTTGGAATGAAACGAACATTTTTGATGTTTAACTAAAATGTAACAGCACACGGACCCACCTGGGCTGGCACTTCTGGCACATCTCGCAGGGGTGGTCTGGGGGGCAGAAGGTGCCGTTCCTGCACACACACACCGTGTTCCTGACGGACTGGCAGGGGCTCAGCTTCACCTGATCTGTGGGACAGAGGGGACACGGCTCCACCCCGGCTCCTCTGCTCCGGCCCAGGTGAGGCACAGGCCCGGGCAGGACCAAGGCCCTCCCTGCTGCTGAGTGCCAGCTTTTCCTGCCCCGCAGCTGCCCGTACCAAGGGAAAAGCAGTGCCTGCATCAAGCTCCACAGCAGCTTCCAGTGCTGCTGGGAGCCTCGTCCTCCTGCTCTGAGTGGAGTCTCGTGTCCAAGCTTTGCACGAGGGATGTGGCCTTTAACAGATGCGGGTCTGGCAGAGACTGCAGCCCCAGCCACTCTCAGGGGACACTGCAGGTGACGCTGTGCTCTGAGAGAGCTCAGCTGGACCCAGCCCGAGCCATCAGCCCTGCTCCCCCCAGCTCGTACCTTCCCTGCACACCGAGCAGTCCCGGCACCAGCGGAAGGCGTTTGGATATTCCATGTATTCCCCAGGCCTGCAGGGCTCACA